ATAAGGAAAATCACGTTTTTCTCTCTGGTTATGTGAGTCAATAATCTCCTTCGCAGTCGATATTTTGGTTTTCAGTGACGAGACACAAAATAATAATCATAAAAGTAATGGTACAAATGATACAAATAACGAATAAATTTGGCACCGAGAGATTGTCGAGGTAAGAGAGTGAATCCCGCATATAGGCCTTATACCCAAGGTTGATCCCTCTCAAGTCTTTTAGACCTGATACCCAGGACCTCTGAGGATGTTACCCACGCGATGTGTGGACAGTCCAAGCGACTTTCTCACAACTACCTGAGACGAAATGGTGGGAACTACGAAAAGTAATTTTAATATGTTTTCATTGTCGAAAGACGGTTCATAGCAGAGTTCTTTCTGCACCCTCACCCGTCTTTTTGTTCGGCCGGGCCTTCGTTTGCTTTGTGCTCCTTTGGCTGTTCATTATTTTGCCGTTTATTCGATTTTAGATAGTTGAAGGTTATAATGTACTGTATACTTTCAGATCAGCAATTTCCTTCAAATTTGGATTTTAGAGTCAAAGTAATGGTCGAAGAGTAATCTCTAATTGCTGAAACAAAATTGAAAAAACTAAATATTGGCGGAGAAATGGAGGTTTTACGTTATGGCCGGAAGTAAAAGTCCCCTCTTGATTGACAGCCCTGTAATGTGTATGCAATCAACCGAGACAACTTTCGCGGGAATATTAGCTATATGGATACCACGAATTGGCTGGCTACTCAGTTGATCAGTATTGTCAATCCAAGCATTTTTCGTATTAGGTGTAATTCTATTAAGCTATAAGTAAACATGGACCGCGGGAAACTCCTTGGACAAGTTCGAAAATGCGAAAACCGCGAAGAACGAATGAAAATACATCAATGAGTGAAGAAGCGAAAGTTGGCCTCTCGGATGAAGCTATAGCTATCGTATCAAGCGGGCAAAAATGATCGAGTCAAGAAAAGAGAAAGATTCTGTGAAAATTTGGGAACTTGACAGCGATAACAGCGATGTTTACAATGACTGTTCTGTTGAGTCCGATACCGAGGAATCGTCGGACTCATTGAGATCCATTGGAATATTATTCATGCACATTGGCTCTGCCGCGCTTTCTTTTGTTTGTTTTCTTCGCCCAGCCACTCTAGCGTTCGTATCCTTTTTCGTCTTCCCCA